GGGCCATGGAGCTGCCCACGGAGCTGCCCACGGAGCTGTCCACAGCGCTGCCCACTGCTGCCGGTACCACCTGGGGCAACGGCACCTCCTGGGCCCCCCTGCCCGGCCACGGGGCCAACGACACGGGGCCGCAGCGGGCCAAGAATGTCACCTCCATCCTCATCGCCATCGTCATCACCGCGCTTTACTCCATAGTGTGTGTGGTGGGGCTGCTGGGCAACGTCCTGGTCATGTACGGCATCGTCAGGTGAGAGCGGGGTGCCCCGGCAGCACCCCACGCTGGCCTCAGTGCCGGGGAGGGCCTGAAAAAGGGGAGCGAGAGGGTGCGAGGGGGAGCGCACACTGAGGTGAGTGTGCCCAGGGGGTGAGCGTGCACCAGGGGTGAGCGTGCATCACGTATGAGACGGCAGCAGGACTCCATTGGGGGTGAGTGCGCACCACGTGCAGATGTCAGATGGCAGCAAAAGCGAGTGTGCCCCAGGACCGAGTGTGCACCAGGGGTGAGACAGCAGCAGGAGTGAGTGTGCACCGGGTTTGAGTGTGTACCGTGTGTGAGACAGCAGCACAAGTAAGTGTGTGCCAGATGTGAGACAGCAGCAGGAGCAAGGATGGGTGTGCACCGGGCGCTTGTGAGCAGGGGTTAGCACAGGTAGCACCGCGATGGGTGTGATGTGCGTGTGAACAGCGTGTGTGCAAGCATAAATGCGTGTGGAGGGTATCCAGATGCTGTGCGAGAGGAAAAAGCAAAGGCTGCGTGTGCACAGAGCAGCACGGGGGTTGCATGGGAGCTGGTGTTTGGGGGGGAGCTGGGGGGCACACCCCGACCCCAGCGGCCATGTGTTCCTCGTCCCTGCGTGAGGAGCGGGGGAAACTGGTCACACCTCGGTTTGGGAGAGGCGAGAGGCTGGCGGGGTATTTATTTCCAACACACAAATGCCACCACTAAGAGCTGCCCTGTTAGCAGGGAGACTCCCGAGTCCCCCCCGCACCCACCCCACAGAGAGGGGCTGGTGGGCTCCCACTGGTACCTGCCCCACTCCATCACCGGGACCCGAGGTGCTCAGAGGGCGAATGACCCAGCCCAGCCCATTCCCGGCTCTGCTGCGAGCTCGTGTTCGTGCTGTCCGCACCTCCCGCAGCCGGCTGACTCCTGCTTTTCTCTAACAAAGAGCAGGAGCTCGCATCGCCCAGCCCCAGCTCGCACCACGACCGAGCTGTCCCCCGCCCCCCCCGGCACCAGGTACCAGCTCCAGCAGCAGAGAGACCCCCTCACGTCCCGGGGGACCCTGAGCCCTGCTTTGGCTCCATCCAGCATTGCAGTGGGAAAGCAGGCGCTGGGGCAGGTCCTCAGCTGGCAGAGACACCTCTGCCGAGGCTTTCCCTGGGCAGGGAGGGGGTCTGCTGGGTCTCTGCACCCCAGGACAAGCAACAGGACCCCAGTGCCCCCCTTTTCAGTAGACGGGGCACGGCGAGACGCTGCTGTATCCAGCCCGGCACTTTTGTCAGGGTGCAAAATTTCCTGCCCATACGAACCGCCTCTTTGTGCGAGACGCTGGTTGATCCTCTCTGGGTAAGCCGGGTTAACGTGGCCAAGGCTGCAGTTACTATGGGACAAGGAAGCCAAGTCTTGCAGACCACAGGACCACCGCTGGCAGAGGGGGCTGGCAGAGCCCTCCATGGCCCCAGACCCCACCGGCACTGGAGGACAGGGCCGGGCGGCAGCAGAGGCAAGAGCCATGCTCACCATCACACTGCTGTCGGCGACGGCGTGGAGACTTCATCACCTCCAGCCTGGCAGGAGGGAGCAGAGATCTCACTGGGTGCCTGGGCTTCATGGCACCCCTTCCCACGCTGGAGAGGGCTTGTCCTGGGGGGTCCAGGATTCACGGGGTCAATGCTAATTCCCATCGCCCCGGGGGCTGCTGTAACCCCAGCCGGGGCCAAAACCCCAGGGCCAAACCAGACCTTGTAGCTTGATTTAGGCAAACTCCAAGAATCCCCATTTTTAACTATTTCCATCCCCCCCCCGCCCAGCACTTTCTGTCCATAGCGATCGTTAGAGGAGGTCAGCACGGCCCGGCACTGCCTGAGCATGAAATAAATGCGGTGACTCACTGGGGGGAAGGAAACCAGCCTGAAACGTGCCCGCAAGCCGCGCCAGGCTGCCCATTACCCTTGCGTCCGGCTCCGCGCTCTTTGGGCAGCTCTGCCGTGTATTTTTAACCACCCAAGAGGGAGGGCGGATGGGTAGCTGGATGGGGGTGTCACTCACTGACCCTACCCAAAACCAGATGGGATTTTTTCATCAACTCAAGAAAGCTTTAAAAAATCAGCCCTAGACTGAAAAAGCAAATTAAGGTAATTGGTGCAGAGACATACGCCACGTACAGTGTCATGGTGAAGGATGAGTGTTATTAGACCCCCTCCAGCTGGTTCTGCTCTTAGAGAAGAGGGAAGGCATTTTAAAGAGAAGGCTTTAATGTGCAAACAACATCCCCTCTATTTAACTTGCTAAGTAACCTGATGTTACCCGTGCTTTAGAAAGCCTGACTCTACAGCATCCGCAGATCCCATCACCGCGGTTTCTAACCTCCCATTTTCCAACCCACCAGCTGACTCTGGAATTAAACACATCTCCCAAGGAATGAATAAGCACGGAGCCCCTGGGACAGCGGGGGCTGCAGACACGCACAGAGCCCAGTGCCTTCGCCCCTTACGTGGCCGAGCCCACCTGGAGTTTCACAGGATCAGAATCATTTTGGTTGGAAAAGACCTTTAAGATTGTCAAGTCCAACCGTTAACCTACCACTGCCAAGAGTTCGCAGGGGTTCGTTGGCAGAGTTGCTCCACGTTGGCAAGGTTTAGGCCAGGACTAGTTAGGCTCCACTGGGGGAAACCTGTGTCCATGCGGGACAGGGCTGTGAAATGGGATCAGCTTGAGTTCAGATCTCACTGGTGGGGAGATGCTGGTCGTTCGCCTTGTGGCCCTGGGGACATCTCCCAGTGCCACCTCCCGCTGCCCTCGGGCCCGCACAGAGCGCCTGGGCAGCCTGCAAGCACGGCTGGAGTGCATCCCGCAGGGCTCGGGGACCTCGGGGTCCCTGGGGATGCAGCGCTGAGGATGCCGCAGAGCCCGTGCCTGCCAGGGAGCAGGTACGCTCAGGACCGTGCTCCACGGCCCCAGCTGAGCTCCCCGAACGGGCATTCGGCACCTCAGAGAGCCGAGCGCGGCCGAAACTCGAAGCACTCCTTGCCCAGAGCAGCCAAAACCCAGCCGCGCTCCCGGAGGGAGCTCAGCCTCCCCGGCACCCTCCGACAGCAGCACGGCCAACAGCTCTGATGGCGACCGGCGCTGCAATTACCACTGCATTGTCAGGCGCTTTTAAAAATACCCCTGGAAGCAATTTGCAGCTGCGAGCTCAGGCTTGCAAGTGCCCACGTCCCCGCAGAGCCCATCAACCCCCCGCCAGCTCCCGCACAGGCTGCGAGGGCATCCGTCCCTTTGCTGGGCGCAGGATTTGTTAAGCCAGGCTCTTTAAACCCAAGGAGTTTTGCGGTTGTTTCTCTCACTTATTTTCTGAGAGATTTGGAGAGCTAAAGGGTCCCTACCCGGGAGTTCAAATTGCGGGCGTCGCTGCTGGGATGCCCTGCGCTCGCTCCATCTTCTCCAGCCTCATCTCTCCATCAACACCTTCCAGATTGTTGTTCAAGTGCGTAACTTCTCAATCAAGGCACTCGCTTAATTGCGATGGGTTCGGCAGCCCGGGGAGCTCCATCAGCAGAAGCGGTTGGTTCACTGCTGCAGGGGATAAACCTCTTTCCCGGAGCAGCAGCTTCTTTTGCAGCTCTCGGGGTGGGGGGTGTCACTACAATGGACCCCCCCACCCTGTGCAGTGGGTTTGACCCTCAGCCCAATCCTGGAGGGGGCTGAATCCTGCCCCAAAACCCCAGCTCAGGGGGATAAATCGAGTCATCCCCATCATCCCAGTCATCCCCATCGCTGCCTTGCCCTCCCCAGCACAGCCCCATCCTGCCCAGGGAGAGGGCTACAGCCCCAGCCCCCCCGGCCCCCCCATTCCCGGCACATCTGGCAGGGGGCTGGGGAAGTGCTTACCCAGCACGGCCGAGCGTGCCTGGCAGAGCATGGCGTGAATAACTGATTTTTTTTTTTTCCACTGTACTCGAAAAGCAGAGATCAAAGAAGTGTGCATCTACCTGAAACGACTATTTTTTAATTTAGGTGAGACAAAACCTGACAATAACACAAATTCTCAGCTTTTTGTTTAACCTGGAAGGAAACTTTTCTAAAAGATGCATTTGCAAAAGAGCTTGGAAACATAACACTAAAGAGAACTGAAAAGGACTTTTCAAGGAAAAGACATTTTTTTTCCCCGTATTTAAAATAATAATAAAAAAAAGTTCGAGTCAGATGTTTCCACCCTTGGGCAAGGGGCTGCCATTTGCAGCCAAGGCGAACGAGAAGTGAATGCCGCTGCGGTCGGGACCCGGTCCGAGCTGCTATTTTCTCCCAGAGAGAAACGGTTTTTGCAGCCTCCATCTCCTGGCTCTACTGACAGCGTAACCCAGTGGGTCTCTGCCCCTGCCAGCATGCTCTCCTGACCCCGCCAAGATGGAGAAAAGGACAAAGTGAAGGAAATTGATATTGCCATCGAGCCCAGGAACCTCTTTCCTACACCAACCCGCTCTCCTGGTCTCTAGCTGGGGCAGCAGAGCAACAACCATCCGAGCTGGGAGGCACTCAACCCCCTCACCCCAATTTTTTCCATCACACGATGGAGTTACGCTATGAGCTGTGCAAGTATCTTTTCCTCCGGCAGCCAAGGGGTTGTCTCCCCCCACGCACCAGAGCTGAATTCAGCCTCCGTCTTGTCTAGGACCGAACCCCACCGCAGGGATGCTGCAGGCAGGTTTAGCGATGCACAGAGACGCTTGTGTTCAAACTGACACTTTTGTTAATTAATTAGGGTGCATCTAAATGAGCTCGGGGCTGCGGAGGATGCTCTGAGCAACAAGGACTTGCTAGAAGGGAGCGCGCGGGGAGGGTTTGGGCTGCTGGCGTCGCCCTGACCTCAGCCTAGCAAACAACCCCAGGGGGTGCTGCAGAGCGCCCCGAGCCCACCCCGACACATTGCCCTTCAGGCACCCCCACCAGCCCCCTCGGCAGCTTCGGGCACCCCCACCAGCCCCCTTGGCAGCAGGGACAAGCATCCATTTCAAACTAACTGCATCATTCAAAGCATCACCTTGATAAACTTCAAGGGCAGGTTTAGATTAGGAAAATTTTCTTCACCGAAAGAGTGGTCAGGCGTTGGAATAGGCTGCCCAGAGAGATGGTGGAGTCACCATCCCTGGAGGTATTCAAAAAACGCGTAGACGTGGCACTTCGGGACATGGTGGTGTTGGGTCGACAGTTGGACTTGATGATCTTAGAGGTCTTTTCCAACCTTAAAGACTCTATGATTCCATGAACACCCGCAGGGCTGGATACTCCGAGGACACGCACCCATCCCCACCAGCCCTAGCACCCACCAGAATGATGCCTCATCCCTTCAGGAAAGGTTTCAGCACTCAGGACTGGGCATTTCTCTCACCATGATGTGACAAGGACCAGAGCTGGCGTGACCAGAGCCGAATGTCCTGGGGGAAGCAGCACCATGCCCCCAAGCCACGTGCCATAGCCGAGGCAGCCAGGCTTCCCCAAAGGCTCTGGAGCTCCAGCCTGGCTAATTGGGCTGCTTCCAGATGGCCTGTTTCCGGGGGTAATCGATCCAATTTCTGCAAGGAAACTCGACAGGGAAGCAAGCTAGATAATCACAATTTATTGGGTGGAAAATCAGATAACGGGAGGTAAAGGACATTGTGCAACTGATTCAGGGAAATGGAGTAAATCGATTTAATTGGAGAAGTGGCTCCTCTGAAAATTTCTTCAGGTTCCCTTTGAATAAAGGCAGTATGTGAATGAGCGTCACCTCCCTGGTCAGGTAAGGGATAACCGCTTCGGCAGGGTTTAAGCCATGTTCTGCAGGTGCTGGATAAGGTCCCACGTGTGAGGACAATCCCATGCTTAGGCACCGGGACGTCAACACACACCAAAACCATGCACGAACAGAAATACTTTCTCAACATGCTCCCTGGTCCATCGGGAAAGGTGCTGAGCACATCGGTGCTGCAGAAGGGCACATCACAAGCACGTACCTTTGCCCACCAAGGGTGATGGCACCCTGTGAGCAGCCAGAGGAAGCCGGGCTGTGTCCCCTCCTCATCACGTTGAGTGTGCACACACATACTTGGGCACGATAAGCCAGCCCTGACCACCTGTAACGACTCCCTTCTCTGCCACCCCCAGGTACACCAAGATGAAGACAGCCACCAACATATACATCTTCAACCTGGCCCTGGCAGACGCGCTGGCCACCAGCACGCTGCCCTTCCAGAGCGCCAAGTACCTGATGGAGACCTGGCCCTTTGGGGAGCTGCTCTGCAAAGTCGTGCTCTCCATTGACTACTACAACATGTTCACCAGTATCTTCACCCTCACCATGATGAGTGTTGACCGCTACGTCGCCGTGTGCCACCCGGTTAAGGCCCTGGACTTCCGCACACCAGCCAAGGCCAAGATCATCAACGTCTGCATTTGGGTGCTCTCCTCTCTCATTGGGGTGCCCATCATGGCCATGGCAGTCACCAAGTCAAAAGGCAAGTGGCTTGTGGGGAAAGGTCCCCTCCTGTCCCACGCATCCATCCTGGGGGTGACCTGGCAAACCCAAGCCACCTGGTCCTGCTCCCCAGCTCCTGGGGTGCAAATCAGGTGCCTAAGACCACCCACAATGGTATTGCAAAGTCCTCAGCTGGTCCATGCTAAGATCCATAGCTCCTGCGTGAGGAGGCCAGCCCTTGGCTGCTAGGAAAGCTCTGGGCTTCTTGAGGAAGCGGAAGGTGACATGGGGACGTGTCCATCCTGGGGGTTGGGAGGACACAGCATGGGGATGGCCCAGGAGGCTCTGCAGGGAACAAGTCCCTGGGTTTTTGCACCCACTACATCCTGTCGGCACCCCAAGGGCAGGGGGCTGGTGGCACAAAGCTCCTGGGGGACCTCTGCAAAGAGGCCGGCAGGTGGGCATGCGTCTCCTTGTGTTTTTAACAATCATGCACATGCCCAGCCATGACCAAGCAGACAGTATTCATAGCAGACACTCCACCAGCTCCCTCTTTGATCATCCTCTCTCCCACAGATGGGATGGTGCTGTGCACGCTCCAGTTTCCCGATCCTCCCATCTACTGGGACACTGTGACCAAGATCTGCGTCTTCATCTTCGCCTTCATGGTCCCCATCTTGGTCATCACCATCTGCTATGGGCTGATGATCCTTCGCCTGAAGAGTGTCCGCCTCCTCTCGGGCTCCAAGGAGAAAGACCGCAACCTGCGGCGCATCACACGCATGGTGCTGGTGGTGGTGGCAGCCTTCATCATCTGCTGGACGCCCATCCACATCTTCGTCATCGTCTGGACGCTGGTGGACATAGACAAGAAGAACCCCTATGTGGTGGCCAGCCTGCATTTCTGCATCGCCCTGGGTTATACCAACAGCAGCCTCAACCCCGTCCTTTACGCTTTCCTGGATGAAAATTTCAAGAGATGTTTCCGAGAGTTTTGCCTGCCTTTCCGAGCCCGCGTGGACCAGAACAGCTTCTCCCGTGCCAGAAACACCACGCGGGAGCATGTCTCCACCTGCACCCCTTCTGAAGCCCGCAACAAGCCGGCATGACTAGACGTGGGCAGCCTCCAGCGGGGCTGCCAGGGCCATGGAGGAGACGACCTGCGCTCGGAAGTGACCCAGGTCACCACCACGGAGCTCTAGCAGAGCGGTGGCCCGGGTGCTGCTCGATAACACCGCTGGGTTTTGTTCGGACTGAAAGCAAGTGACTGCAAAGACTTTTTTCATCCTGGAGAACCCAGGATGGGGGAATCAGGACTCACCAAGCAACATTAGGAGATGACCAAAACAAGAGGCAACCTGAGCAGAGCTGCTCTGCTGCTGCTCCCACTGTGGTCGGGGACAGCCAGCAGCCCCATAGACCCAACAAGGGCTGTCACTCTCCAACACGTGGCTGTTGGCAAAGCTGAGGCATCCTGGGACACCACGATGGCAATGACCAGCTCTTCTCCTCCTGCATGGACCAACATGGCACCACAGCCCATGGCAAGAAGGGGCTGTGCTGGGGGGTGATGCCACATCATGGGGCCCCACTCCATCCCCCTCTGAGCTGCGTCCAAAAAACGGCCAGAGCTGGGACGAGAAAATGATGCCGCTTCAGAGACAGCGTTATCTAAGAGCTCCAGATCCCTAGTAAAAATTTTACTGGAGTCCTTCAAACTGGGACTGCCCTGGAGGATGACTTTCTACTGGTAATGTCATGACTGTATTATTTAGCAAACCTCTGACTGCAGCCAGGGCAGCCCTAGACACGGATGTGATGCTTGGGAATGTGGATACGGCCAGGGGATGGGTTGGGGGACGGAGCAGGGCACGTCCCAACCTCACCCAGTCTCTGCGTGCTGATGCCAAATTCCACTGGCCCAGCATCCCTCAGGGTGACAGGGAACCACTCCTCACCCATCTGCCTCCAAAGACATTAAACCTCAGAAAGATCTCATTAAGGGAGCAATTTGTGGGGACTGGAGGAGTTTCTCGCAGAGCTAAAGCAATTAGGATGGACTAATGGGCGGCGCTGCCAGGGCTCGACCTCCCCTGCCCATTGGGTGAAGGATGAGCAACGGCACTGCCCAGATTTCCTTTAGCTACGCCAAGAAGGATAGGATTTATTTTTTATTTTTTTTTAGTAGCAGATGGGAAAAACATCACCATCATTTTATAATTGCCCAAGCAGGGACAGGGGTCACGCAAGCACTGAGAAAGGACCCACAGCCTGCAAAAAGCAGAGATTTTTTGGATTTCATGCTCAGCACTCACCCAGACAGAGCAGACATTCCTCTGAAGAGGCGACTGAGCTCTGGCAGCGCATCCTGCAGGAGCCACCAGCCAAGGACCTCTGGACCGCATTATCTGCCACTAAACGATGACCGATGGGTCCTCCCAGCCTTCCGCTCCCCGAATCACCCCCGCCAGCCCCGCGCCGGCTGCCAGCAGGGTCCAGCAGCCGTGACTTTTTCCTTCCTCTCACCTTCCCACCGCCATGGCTGCGGCTGGGGGGGAGGTCAAATGGGCTGGGGAGGAGAAGGCTTGAGGAGAGCGGTAATAGCATTTAGCGCACAAATTGATGCAGCTGGAGGAAGCAGGCGAGCACCCGAGAGCACCTGGGGCTCATAGGCTGGATGGAGAGTCTGGGTTGCGTCTCTGGTTTTTCCAGTTGCATCAATTTAGCCTAATAAAGGTCATTACTTCTCCTTACCAGCCCTACCTTTCTCCGGAGCTTGTGGAAATTGCAGCCTCCCCGTTAGGAAGGCAGAGCCAACAAGGCAGCCAAAACCAATTTCTCTGTCAAAGGAACCAAATAGGGTGAAATTGCCCGTTTGGATCTCAGATCAGTCGCTGCGGAAGTGCACGAGCAATCCTACTCGTCCGTCTGCGCCGTGTCCCCTTGCCCTGAGCAAAAGCTTCTCGCTGAGCATTGCGTCAGCCCGGACATCTCCAGCTCTCGCCCAGGGCTCCTTGGGATCCCTTTGCAGGCACGGATGGAGTCCTGGGCCACCAGCAGAACCACGGTCATCCCTTGCCATCGCAAGCCCAGCTGTTCATGGAGCATTGGGTACAGGAGGGCAAACAGGATCGGCTCCGGGGCAGGAATTGGGGGGAAAACCCCCCAGGTCCCACGAGGCTGAGCTTCAGCTCCATGAGAAGAGAGACTCTAGGAGTTGGAGACCACCCTTCAGCTCTCCACCTCCACCCAACCTGGGGGCAAAACCCTCAGTGCTGTGTGGTGGGAAAGGTTTGGAGCCGGTTCATGGTGAGGTCCTGGCAAGGTGGGATGTCCCAGCAGGGGTGGGATGTCCCATGTTGTGGACCAGGACGTCTTGGGTTTCACTCCAGGCTGAATTCCAGTTTGATATCTCAGTTTGGGGAGTAACCCCATCACCTGTGGATGGGGCATCTCTGTCCCAGCACAGCCCCTTCGAGGACACGCCGTCGTTGGGGGGGAACCAAGCTGCGAGTGCTGGGGGCTGTGGGCTGGCTCGGGACAACACGGGAAGCTTGGCCACCCCCCAAAGCTCAACCAGCCCATTTCCCATCCCCACGGGATCTTTCCGTCTGGAGGAGCCCTGCCAAATTCCCAGCCTGTTAGGACATGTGCCTGCAATGGCCTTAAAGTGGGTTAAAAGGCTTCAAGTCATTATTTTTTAAATGCAGCCACGCTCGGGCAGAGCTGAGAGCCCAGGACGCAGCGAGGATCGTGGCTTTTCTTAGCTTATGTTTTGCTGAATTAAAAAAAAAAAAAGAATATTCCAGGGGAAAAGGGGATGCTGGTGGCAAACACCACACCAGAACCCTTGCGATGACACGGACTTAGGGCATCACTCACCTGCAATGGCATCCCGGCAGGTGCCCAAGGGCTGATCGAGCTTCTCCCTGCAACGGCACCCACCCAAAAATCAGCTACACCAGCCCCTCGTTCGGGCTGAGGCTGAGAAACCGGGGTCAAATCCTGACCCAGGGAAACGTCCTGGGAGCTTGTACCTGCCCGTGCGGAGCCCTGCTGCGGCTGGGGTGCTCGGAGGGCATGCTCTGTGTACTTTTTATATATATATATATGTATTTCTCTCTGTCTATAGCTGTATGAAACTGAAGTGGCCCCAGGTCATGCCATCCCACCCCCCGCTATCGCAGCCCCCTGCTACTCTGTGTCTGATGGCTGGACCTCGCGCTCCTGCCCAAATCTGCCGGGTCCGCAGCCTCGACCAGGACCTCGCCGGTATTTCCAGCTCCTGCCCTCATGACTTTGGGCTTTTGATGGCATTTCTGTATAGGAACTGTGCTTTCTAATAAAAATAAATATAATAAGAGACAGCAAGTGGTTTCTCCTTTGACTCTCAGGCACTGAGAGTCCCACTCAGGGTGGTGTTTTGGGGAGTGATGGGGCAGGAACCACCTCTGAAGTCAAGTTTTAAAAACTCTCGTGTACTGGGGAAAAAAAAAAAACAACCCACCTTCATGAAACCCCCGAGCCCTTTAGCTGAGGTTATTTTGCAAGCCCTGGTAACCAAAAGCCTTTGCGTCGCACCGGTGACATTCGAGGCGTCCCTCTGCTGCTGGTCGTCAAGATATAGTTTTATTTTAATAGCCCAGCAGCTCAAACTCCGGCCCAAATTACATTTGTAATTTAAATGCAAATGAGGATTTAGTGAAAATGCAACAGAAAGGGGTGTTGGAGCCTGTAACTGCACTCCTGCTTAATGAGACTTTGGATTTTAAAGTATTTATCACTTCTGCCGTGTCAATTTGCAAAGTGGTTTGTAAGTTCCCAAAGAACGGGAAAACCGTAAAGAGCACGGGGTGGATGCGAAACCTGGATTTCCAGCCGGGAGGTGATTTCTAGTGGGGGCATCGCTGCCCCAGCACCTTTCCAAGACCCCCTCTCCACCATCCGGTGCCCTTGGAAAATGAAGCCAGGCACCGACACCAGCGATTTCACAGCCCAGTTAAACCAGCAGCCAGCCCATCTGAATAATGCAGCGACGTGTGCCGGCACACGGGAGCTGCCACGCACCTACAAGCTAGTTCCAGGGACCATCCTTGCAGTCTAATACCACATTTGCTACTGCTGAAAACCTTCTTCTTTTTTTTTTTTTTTTTTAATTAATCCACCAAATAATGAACCCTAATGTAACAGGCTTTATTCTTACACATGTGATTAATTATGAAGCCGCCTGTTTCTTTGTCTGCACCGCAGGTTTAGGCTGACTTTGTAATTGCATTATTATGCATATGGAAATGAGTAGATCTGGCTTGCCTGGCGAGGACGCGGGGGATATCTCCCACCACCCTTACTCCGGAGCAGCCTGGGGTGGATTCAGGCTCTCAGCCCTGAAGAGATGCTTCTTGACTTGCAATTCATCATTTAAAAAGAAAAAAAAAACCAAAAACCCAAACCCACTATGATTAATTTCTAGGGCGCATTTTTTTTTTTTTTCTACCCATAGTTACAAATTCTGCTCAACCTGTGCTATTTTATTCCCTGCACAAGTGGGACTGGGAGGAAGACGAGGGCTCGGCCGTGGGGGGGTGGTTGGCATCCCGTGGGAGCACCGGGGCTGCTCCAGGCTGGGAAGGAGCCAGGCTCCAGTTCCCCAGCTCCGGAGGGATGTCCTGAGCCAGGTGAGAAGTTTTCTCTGTTTTTGGCCTGTTGTTAAAGGAGATGAGCCAGGACTTCAGCAGTTTTTGGAGGGAGCAGAGAGCTCCACGCATCCCTATTTCAACCCAGTTCCCATCCCCAAGAGACCCGACACATTCCTCTACCAGGAGCCACACCAGACCATTGCACACCCCAGTTATACTGGGATATACTGGCCAGATTCCCGGCCTTAATGACAAGACTCGGGGAGGTGAGACCTCCCGGTGCAATGACCAAACTCTCTCCTTTGCTTGCAGACCCATCATTAAAGACCCGCGTGACCCGCCACGCTGCAGCAGGCTGTTTAATGAGCCGGCTCCCAAAGCCCAGGGAAAACCACACGACCTTGCCACTTGGTAATAATTAAAGCTCATTTCCTCTTCGAGGCAGGAAAAGGAGGACAAGAAATCAACTCAGTATCTTCCAAACCCTTTTGAAGATGCAATTCCCTCCCGGCAGATCCTGCAGGAGTGTTGTGCAGGTAGGGGTTTTTTGCTTTTAAAAAAATTTTCTAAAAAAAATCAAGAAAAAAAAAAAACCCAACACAACAACCCACCCATCGCTCAAGCAACACACAAAGTGCTTTTATTCTGGAGACAAAAGAGCCTCACACCACCAGAGCTCATCCTCCCGGGATGCTAAAAACCCCAAATCCCACGTTCCCATCTTTTGTCTGGAAATTAAAAGCCTTTTACGCACTTCGAATAACGACAGATGGGGACTGGGAGTGGGGGATCGGAGCTGCCAGCCGGGGACCCCCCCCTGCTCCCCGCAATGAGAAAGGGTCTGGCTGT